TAATGTGAGAAACATTGTTGTTGAAACTCATGAATTTCTAATTCAAATTATAGAATCACAAGTTATATAAGTACAAAAATATTCTATTATCAAATATATATAGTTTAAAAATATCAACGCATATAATATAAATCAAATCATTATTAAAGTCCAAATTAACTGATTTTTTAAAAATTTAATTGGATAAATTATTGTCTAAAACTAAATTTAATTTTAAAATGATAATAATAACTAAATATTTGAAATATTATTAACAATGTAAAAAATTAATAACATTAATATTGTATAAAAAAATTTAAAAAATAAAAAAATTATAAAAGGGCTTAAAAGGGCCGGCCCGCGGCCCTCCAGGGTCGGCCCTTTTAAGCCCTCGGCCCTTCAGGGCTTATTTCTCATTTTAAGAGAAAAATATCAAGCCCGGCCCTCGTAATTTCAGGGCCTAAACGGGCCGACCCGATGGGCTCGGCCCGTTTTCTCGACTCTATGAACCAGTCTTCTGTCTCTAAAATTTACATATCTAAATTGCACAATCATTTCTGTGAGTACAATACATTAGCCGTCCTTGTATTTTTATCTAAATTACAAAATTTTCTCTTCTATTTTAAAAATATATATAAACCTCTCATAAAATTAAAATATATATTGCATTCAATCATTAGTTGACCGTTAAATTTGACTTTTAAATTTTTGTTTTGACAAAAATACCCCTTTTTCACATAAAAGCTATTTAAACATTTATATTTGTTATACCGTAGAAAATAATTTTGATAGATATATTTTGAAAAATTTTAAAATGTAATTAAATATTTTATAATTTTAATTTTTTATCACATGTATTGAAACTTATTGATTTAGGTTTAGAAAAGATATTGAATAGATATTTTTTCATCATATAATATAAATGATCTAAGTTTAAGATTTTAAATTTATAATTTATAATTTATAAATAAATTAGAAACATTTATAACTTATTTAGTCAATTATATATTTATTTAAATAATTAATCAAATTTCCATTCAAGATTTTTTCCTAAATTAACTAAATTACTTAATTTTCTATCCCAATATGATAAAAACATAGAAAAAATAATTATCTGCAGAAAATAAAAAAATTTCACCTAAGCCTCACTGTCTGGATTTAATTTCCAATCAGACCAGTAAGCTCTAGAAATTCAAAAATATCAATGGATTGTATTGAGATTAGAATGAAATAAAAACTTCTATGGGCATTCAAATTAAAGTTGGTCTCAATATTCATATGCTTTTCTCATCGCTGTTATGGTAGTGATATGGAATTTCCCATCTAAAGCTCCTGTTGTTATCATCTTCTCTACTGTGTTTCGGGGCGTTCTTCCAACTTCACAGTATGCTTGATTAGAATCACTTAAATAAATATGTTTTATGTAAGTAAAGGTAAAACTCTTTTCATATACTTATCTAACATTTTATAAATTATGATTAAAAAGTTGCTTATAATTAGCAACATATTTTATAAATTGTGTAGACTGCGCATATTATAAGTCATTGGGAAATTAAGAAAGTAATAAAATGAAATACTATTTTCGATTCTTAATATAAAAACTTGTTTGGCTTTTAGTTTCGTCTTAAGTATAACATCTTGATTCATTTTATTTATCATATTTACCCCTTTTTTTTTTCAAGGTAGTCCTTGTAATAATAGTACTTTTAGCCAAATACACTTAATTAGTAAGAATATTTTAAAAAAAACAACACATATTTATTATAAATAACTAATTTAATTAATTTTTTTAATTTACTTAAATTAGTCAACTAAAAAACCAGAGCTAGTAAATGTATAATCTTCTTTGGCTAAGATGTTGTACAACACATCCCCATCCTCTTGTGCGTTGAAGATGGGCACCAAATTGTGGTTATTAAATTTTTTATGGGAGAACAATACTCCCTCCACTCTACAATATGAGTCACTTCTAAAAAAATGAGTTGGTCTAAAATATAAATCATTTGAAAAGTAATCGATGCATATTTATCAATTGTACAATTAATGCTTAAATGCAAGTTTTTATATTTTTCTCTGTCCTTCGCTACCCCATTTAATGTAGGTAAACTTAGAAAAAGTTTTCAATTTGAGACACATTTAATTAATTAACTGCCGCTCTTCAATGTTGATGAACTAGTTACAATAACTTGCTCCTCTTATTCTATTTATATAGTAAAAAGAAAAAATAATTTTTGGTCCTATAAGGAAAGAAAATTTTTATATAAATATACAATTTTATCTTTAATTTATTATTGTGTTTTGTTCTTATGAGGTATATTATATATAAAATAGGAAAAAATTTGAAAAACTATTAGTTTTTAAATGAGAGTTAATAAAATTTAAGAATTTTATTAGTCTATATAAAATATATTGAAAGAGCAATTTATAAATAGAAACATATAAGTATACTATGAACCTGAGAAAGTAATAGGAAAAATGACAAATAAAAACTCTCAACATGTGAAACTACTATTTGCGACTTCTAATTTGAAAAATAGCAAATAAAGACCTGGTTTATATTGCAAATATAAATTCTTGATAAAATGTCTGAAATCACAACTCAGGTATACCAAATGACAAATTGACTATAGGAAATAACAAGTTCACTTTAGCGAATGACAATTTCTATAGACTGAATCACAATTTGGCTTCTGACCAAATCATAATTTGACTGAACGGTATTTCAAATATTTTACTAAAATTTTATATTTACAATATGAAATTGGGTCTTTATTTACTACTGTATTTTTTAAATTATGAGTCTCAAATAATAATTTCACATGTTAGGTGGTTTTTATTTGTTATTTTTCAAAATAATAAGGATGATTAAAAGTCCTGTCCGTTGTGCTTGTCCCTTTCTCTTTTACCCTTTCCAGCTCGCACATCAGGCGGCCATCTCGAGGCTCCATCATGTGAACCCTCGTGGCCATAAAGAGACGAACCAGCCCGGGCATACCTGGGAAGGCGCGCATCAAAGCCCATCTTGAAGACGATGAAGATATGGGTCTGGGATTTGGAAATCGATAGTAGCAGTACACAGCCAGAGCCATGTGTGAATCTGTGATTTTCCCAGACAACGGGCATGCTTTGGCGTTACTTCGGTCAGGCAAGTTCATTACCAAATCCGACGCAATTGGATAGTGAAATTTGAAAATCTCTGGCAGGCTGCTTATTGTCGTATTATTGTCCGTGGAATTCTTTATCTAGCATAATATACACTTCTAGATTAAAAAAAATACTGACATATCCGCGCAGTATTTTTTTTTTGGAAAGAATCCAAAAAAAAGCTTCCAAATTTGCTACGTGATTTCAACTGTGATTTTTTTTAACTAAATTCAGGTGACAGTGAGAAATTCTTTTCACAGTTTATCTATCTGTTTTATATTTGTCATTGAATAATTTTCTTTTATTTTAATTATTTTTGGAGTATTATGAAGCTCCTTGAAATTATTCCGAAAACGGTTACCAGCCCATGTTTATTTTTCACAATTCTTCTCATATAATACTCTTTTTATTGCTTGCCCCATGTTAACTCATAGATAATTATTTTGAGAAATAAAAGAGTTTATGAGAGGGTTTATTTCCAAAAAAGGTTACAAATAATTTAAAAGCTGTTTTCTTAAATTAACAGCTTATTTTTGTTAAGAAATTCAAGAAAAATGGCTATTTATTTAAAATCACACATTTTTTTAAAAGTAAAATTGTACCCAATATCAATACCCTAGCTGTTTTTTAGTATTGTAATTTTAAGAGAATCTTTTCAAATCTGATACAATCTCACCTTTTCTTTACTTATTTAAAATCACACCTTTTCTTTTATTTATCTTAACAATTAAAACTAAATTAAAATTATATTGAAAATTAAAAAGATAAGTGAGGTTGCTTTAAATTTAATACACAAAAGGCATTACATGGGCCATTTATATTTATAATGTAATCCTAAAAAGAATAGAGCACTAAGTGAGATTGCACCAAATTTATAATGTAATCAATTATCCGAGCTAAGTGAAAAGAAAGATTTTTACTCATGTGGTAATTGCATTCTTATTACTTTACTGAGACTAGCGTAATAATAACAGATAATTTCTTTTTGGTTTTGTGGGTTCTTTGAGTTTCGTCAAAATCCACACATGAAAAACTCATATAGATGAATGTACAATTTTCTTTCCTTCTCAGTGGAATCAAACAAGTTGGCATGACTCCCCATGCACGTAGAGTATCACGGGACGCCCATATCAGATGCAGCGCGTCCTCCTCATTTCCTCGTTTATATCCCCCACTTGTGAGTGTATAGCACAATTCTAAGAACACCAATATCTAACTATTTAAGCACGGAGAAAAAGGTCAAAAAAAAAAAATCCTATTATTGTGAAATAATATACTCATTTTGTCTTTTTTATAAGCAACAATTATCATTTCTTTTTATTTTTAAATATGATAATATTTGCAAGTTGTCTTAAATTTTCATAGCTAATTTTTTATTTTGCCCCCATTAATTATTCATTTTACCACTCAATATATTATTTCATTTTCCAAACCATCATCTCTCTCCATCACACATTCTCTCTTTTTCATAATTCTTATTATTATAATAATTTTTATTCTTTTTTTTTACACTCCCCCCCATAAATAAGCATATTTTTGAGAAAAAAATTCCAATTTTTACCCATTTACTCCCTCCGTTCCTTTTTATAAGCAACAACTATTATTTCCTTCTTATCCTTAAATATAAGTAACATTTGTAAGTTGTCTCAAATTTTTGTAGCAAAATTTCTATTTTGTACCCATTAATTACTTATTTTAATACTTAATATATTTATTATCTTATTTCCTAAACCATCGTCTTTTTTCATCACACATTCTCTCTATTTCATAATTCTCTTTATTATAATAATTTTTTTGTTATCTTCCTTACACTTTTTTCCCCATAAATAAGGGTTGAAGAAAAAACTTGTAATATCTACCCATTTATTACCTTTAACCAACTTTTTAATATATGTGATAGAGTCTAATGTTACTTATAAAAAGGATAGAGAGAGTATCTAGCTTATTTACAAGTTAATCTTTAATTTAAAAGATCAGCACAAGTGATGTGGATGCATGCAGGAAGGGATCGGCCATATAAAGTGAAATCGGTCCAATGAAATAAATACTGCATAAATGAAACTGTGTTGAACACACCGCACAAAAAATGCCTTTTTTTTTTTTTAAATTGGAGAGAAAATGACCGTTTGGCTTGTTGAGGATTTTTCTTTGTCTGTGACTGGACAAGTGTAAGAAATAAGATTTTTTTTTTGGTTGCCCACCCAGTTCACCGGAGCTTTGCTCCGACTACATCTGGATCCGACCCGCGTCGCGCACCTGGCTGTGGTGGATGAGTCTCCCAACAGGGATTTCTGCATACGCTGAGGCTCGAACTCGAGACCTCGTTTAAGCGGTACCAAGCCGCTTACCACTTGGACCAATCCCTGTTGGTAGAAATAAGATTTTAACTTGCTCACCGTATTGTTTTTCTTACTTACATTTTGGCTTTCAAATTTGCTAAGTGATTTCAACTGTGATTTTTCTTTTAAATTAAATTCAGGTAACAGTGATAAATTTTTTTTACAGTTTATGTATCTGTTTTCTATTTTTCATTGAATAATTTTCTTTTTATTTTGATTATTTTTTGGAGTATTATGAAGCTCCTTGAAATTATTCTGCAAACGGTTACCACCGGAGAGTACGATGCATGTTTATTTTTCACAATGCTTCTCATATAATACCCTTTTCGTTGCTGGCCCAATGCCAAGTCATAGGTAATTATTTTGAGAAATAAAAGAGTTTATGAGAGGGTTTATTTCCAAAAAAGGTTACAAATAATTTAAAAGCTATTTTCTTAAATTAACAGCTTATTTTTGTTAAGAAATTAAAAAACAATAGCTATTTATTTAAAATCACACGTTTTTTTTAAAAAAGAAAGTAAAATAGTGCCCCGTATCAATACCCTAGCTTTTTTCTCAGTGTTGTAATTTTAAGAGAATCTTTTCAAATCTGATACAATCTCACCTTTTCTTTTGTTTATCTTAACAATTAAAAATAAATTAAAATCATATTAAAAAATTAAAAAATAAGTGAGATTGCTTTAAATTTAATAGACAAAAGGCATTGCATGGGCCCTTTATATTTCTAATGTAATTCTGAAAAGAATAGAGCACTAAGCGAGATGCACCAAATTTATAAAAATCAGTCAGCATCCGAGCAGCTTTCCACCCCTTTATATTTCTTCCCCTTCCACGACAGTTCTGCAGAAGGAAGAGGGGGTGGCGAGAGAGAGAGTGAGAGAGAGAGCACCTGTGAGGTCGTTGCCGGTGGAGGAAGAAGCCGGAATTCGCTTCCGATCAAGGTAAGCCACCTAAATCTCTCCGTGTTTTACTTCTCTGATTGGGGTGGTTTTTTTTGGGGAAAACGGTGAATCTTGGTTCGAAAAGCGGGGGAAGCAATGGTAAAGGCCTAAAATGGGATCTAAAGGCAGATTAAAACTTAGAGTTATGTTAATCGTTGCTTGGATTGCTCTGAATTGTGAAGTTCGAAGAAGGGGTTGCTACTTCTGTGTGTGTCCGTATTTTTCAAGTTGTTCCCTCCCTCTGATTGCTGTGCTGCTGTAATGTCGCAAGATGTAATATATGTGTGTTTATGATTTTGATATGGGTGAAGGACCGAGTTGTTTATTTCAGAAGTTTTTTTTTTTTTTTTGGGGTCAAAATTTCGGAAGTGGGTTTAATCGGTTTTCATTTGGGGACTGTGTTTTCTGATGCTAAATGAATAAAGGATGTCTACAGATTCTGAAATCAATAGTCTTGAAGTTCTCTGAGTTGTCGAAATCGTGAGAATTTGGTTATCTTTGCTATGGTATATCATCTTATAAGCTTGTGTGTCTGTGTTCATTACTGCTGGGGCTGTTGATGCTTGAGGTTGTGGGATTCAAGTTTTGGAAATTCAGAAGCTGGTACGGTGGTGTTCAGAGTCTGTTTAACGAATCTGAATTATATATTAGCATGTTCTGAAGGTAGAAATAATTTACAGATTCTACTGCTACTTGAAACGTTTTGAAGGTTAAAAGCTGATTATATACTTGTAAAATATGGGGAAAACAAGTGTATACCTGTATGTGTGTGAGTATGTGGGTCATTGCGTGTGAATTGATGCTTGTGGAATTAAATTATCGAGACATAAAACTGATTTTCAGGTTTTTTTTTTTTTAAAATAAATCTTATGGTTTGAGGATTGAAGAACTAGAGATTAAAAACTGATTTGGACATAATGATTTATGTCTCTAAGTGCTGAATTATGGTTGTGCTGTTTGAATCAGATTGTTTTATATCCTATGAGCTCAAAGTAGAAGCTGGAAAATCAGTTTTAAATTACTGTTTGATGCCTTCTTTGACTAATCAATTGTTTAGCTATCTAAACTATGCTTTAAGTGTAAATTAGAAATATCTTTTAGGTCATGTGGTGTTGATGTCTGAATGTTTTGAAGATTAAAACTGATTGAAATACTCATCAAATGTGAAAGATAAGCATATGTATGCTGATACGTGTGTACAAATGATATATATATGTGTGTGTGCTTCCCCAAATTGTTAAAGTTTAGAAATTATCTATAAAGTGCTGTTCTAGAACTATTAAATGCTAAGTAGGTGAATTAAAGTGTTAAAAAGCATGTTTATGAATGCTTAATGATCAACGAATCTGCTTGGAAATATTATAATGGTAATTTTGGAGCCAGAATTCCCTATATATATGTCGGGTCTTGTGATAAAGAGGAAAAGGTAGTGGAATATATTTTAAGAGTGCTATTGATGGTACTGAATGCTAAAGGATTATTCTAGATGATCAAATAAGAGTAAAGATGCTGGAATGGTAATTAAGACGTAATTGTTTGTGAATTTGTGAAGTTAGGAGCAGTAAAATGATTTGCAAAGTTAATGATTGACACTGTCAAATGTTAAATAATTATTTTATATGTCGTGAGTCTATGTTTAATCAAAGTTTGGAGGTCAGAAGCTGAAATACTCCTTGTTTTATACTGCCTCTAGTCCTTATATAAGACCCTATTGGCTAATTTGGAAAAATTAAGTTACCAAATTACTTTAAAGTTCATATTTATAGTTTTTCTTCAAACTACTTTCCTTTATAAATTGATATTTAGTCTAATGATATATATAAGTATTTTAGAAAGATCATGTAACATATATTATAATTAAGCAATTTAGTAACTTCTTTAATTTCCCTGATTTTGTCAATTGGGTCTTATATTATGGACCCGAGGTAGTGACTATATATGTGATAAAGCTGAAGGCAATGTTGTTAGGCGAACTGTACATTTACTGGTGAAGCTTGAAATTAATTATAAGTTGCTGTTTGGTGTTGCACATTTGTTATTTTTCGCATGAGTTTCCCCCTATATGCTAAAGATGAATCTCAATGCAATAGCTGGAAATGTCTTAATCCGGAGGCAATTTATTATATATGCATAACATGTTTTATATCCTTTTGTCTTAATAATAGAATATAGACACATACACATGACCGGAATAATATTTTTAATTTCTAGTTTTAAATTCATTGTTAATGTTAATACTTTTTAATCAACTTATTATAATTATTATAATGTTATAGGAAAATTTTTGCATTAAAAATGACATATAAGTGGAGGGGGAATCTTATTATAAATTCATCTACTTAAAAATGTTTTCATATTTTGGACTTGGCGCTGCCTAATTTTAATTTTTTACTTAGGGAAAAATGTGTAATTTTTTAGACTTAAAACAGTTGCTTCTACCTTCCAACTCATATATGGAGGGATATTATGAAATTTCTTATTTTTTTAGTTGCTTATTATGATGAGGTGTTTCTTTTAGGTTCTGCCTTTTAAGTAGATTTGTATTCTCTAAAATTTAAACTAAGGAAGATATAATGAGAAAAAACGCAATAGGCAAAGATATATAAATGTATATTATAGTCAATGAAAGATTCCATTTGAAAAAACTGAACAAAGGATTTTGTTTGTTACAGTAAATTATATTCGTTCAGTTTTTAATGTAAGATCTGATTAACTAATTTGAATAGACTAATGATACTAGTTAAATTAGTTAATATGATATGTTTTTTATAAAGCACCTTAAGTATCTTTCTTAATTTCCTTTCTTCCTCTTCCATTTAATTATTGTTGGGGGTATCAATAGAGTTGCTTGGAGAAAAAATTGATAAAATCGAAATTCTTGATCAATAGAGGAACAATATCACCATTTTTGTTCAATAAGATACCAAAGTGGATGATTGACTCATTCCATACTAGAAAGAATCGCAGGAAATCTTACATATAAGACCAATATTAACTGCCCAATTAGGTCTTACATTGAGGACCTGGGAGTATTATAATTCCTAATCTCACATTATGCGATAGTTATTTTGAATAGCTATAAATTTTTTTAAAATTTTTTGACTGTTTTGAATTAATTTCATATTATTGAAAAGGGATGTATTATATTTTATTGAGTTTCTGTCGTTAGGTTCTCATCTTGAAATCTTGTATTTATATGTAGGGCGTTCAAGTAAATTGGAAGAGCTAACAATTTAGACAACCCTAATCATTACTGTCAAGAATAGTGTGACAGAAATGGTGAACAAAATTTTGAAATTATTTTCATAGAGGATTAGAGATGTGAATGTTGAGGGAAAAGACATAGATCTACTAGCAGTAGAATATAGGCAAATGAAGGTATTCAAGTTTTTACACAAACAAAAATACCTATATTCGACTGCTAGTTTGCCTATATTCTACTGCTAATAGGACTATGTTTTTTCCCTCAGTATTCACATCTTTAATCCTCGATGGAAATAATTTTTAAATTTTCTCCACTATTTCTATCACACCATTCTTGACAGTATTCATTAGGGACGTGTCAGTTGTTATAGTACCAGACAGAGGTGTCGCAATTGACTGTCACTCCATCCGCCAATGCTGTTCACAAAATTTTTGGATTCTATTCGTTTATGGTACACTTATTCTCCCTCATTTCCACCATTTACTTTCTGTGTATGGCTGCTTCTCCTTCCCAATTTGCTCTTAGAGATACATTCCTTTCAAGCTTTACCTTGCTATGTCCTTTATATATGTTCGTCTCCATTGTTTATTTGGGGATCTCTTCTCGTCCTGGTGATTTAATTGCACAACACTTAACAGGATTATATTTTGTGGTCATTAGGCATCATCCTTTTGATTTTCACATAGCTCTCCACATTCATTGGTCCCACATTTTCTGCCATTAGTTGAAATTCACATGCAAAACAGCACTGTTAAAAAGTTTTTGGATGAAAATAAGTGCTTATATCCTAATACACACACATTCTCTGATTGTGATTTGAGTACTTTGGAGCCCAATTAAGGGCAGTTTTGCCCAAAGTGTATTTTACATCCACACGGACTCAAACTTGAGACTTTGTGGTTAAAGAGTCAAAACAAAGGATCGATTACTAATATATATATCATTGCATTTCCCATATTTACTGTTGAAGTTTGAAATTAACTATAAGCTGCTGTTTGGTGTTACACATTCATTATTTTTCCTATGAGCAGCTTGTAATTTTGTTTTTTTTCCTATATGCTAAAGATGAATCTCAATGTAATAGCCAGAAATGTCTCAAGAAAATTGGAAATATGGTGGAGAATCTTTTTCCTAAGGCAATTTGGGTTCTGTTTTTTAAATAGATTTGTATTCTCTAAAATTAATAAATAAATTTTTCCACACACATGTATCTTTTTGCCTGTTACATTTGTTCTCATTGTGTGTGTGTGTGTGTGAAACTTGCAAATTTTCTAATTTTGGAGGAAAAAGATTTTATGCGTGAAAGGCAATATATTTATTTGATATATGTGTGTCAATTTTAGGTGTTCATTGATTTTTTTTTGAACATTTTATTTTGTAACATTATTTAAACACTTCATATGTTGACGAAAGATTCCATTCAAAAAAACTAAACAGAGGAACGAAAGATTCCATTCAAAAAAACTATAGAGGATATTTAAATGATTTTATTCGTTACAGTAAATTGTAATAATAATTCCTAATCTCACATCATGCAATAGTTATTTTGAATAGCTTAATTTCATATTTTTGAAAAGGGATGTATTATATTTCATTGAGTTTTTCTCATTAGGCTCTTATCTTGAAATGCTGCACCCCTGTTGGGTGTTCAAGTAAATTGGAAGAGCTAACAGTTACGATACCCCTAATGATTACGGGCAAGAATGTGTAAGAATGGTGTGACAGAAATAGTGGAGAAAATTTTGGAATTATTTTTGTTAAGGATTAGATTATTAGAAATGTGAATGTTGAGGAAACAATCTAATCATACTAAAAGTAGAATATAGGCAAACCAAAGTATTCAAGCTTTTGCGCAAACGAAATGGCGACCTGAGTTTATTATTTCTGTTTGTGCAAAAACTGAATCCCTGCTTGCCAAAGTTCTAGTGCTGGTAGCATTTACATCTTTTATTCTCAATGGAACTAATTTCAAAATTTTTTTTTTCACCGTTTCTGTCACACCATTCTTGACAATAATTATTAGGGGTGTTTCAATTGTTATTGTACCAGAGGCTGGTGTTGCTATTGACTCCCACTCTATCCACCATGCAAAATGTTTTGATTCTGTTCATTTGCAGTCCGCTTCTCCCTCATTTCCACCATTTGCTTTCTGTCTATAGCTGCTTCTCCTTCCCAGTTTGCTCACTCTTGGAGATACATTCCTTTCAAACTTTGCTTCGGTATGTCCTTCATATATGTGATATGTCCGTCTCTGTCTCCATTGTTTATTTGTGGATTTCTTCTTGTGCTGGTGATTTATTCATGCTCGATGACTACAGTCAAGAATTGCACAACACTCGGGTTATATTTTGTGGTCATTGGGCATCATCCTTTAGGTTGTCACACAACTCCCCACATCCATTGGTCCCACATCGTTCGCCATTAGTGAACTTCACATGCAAAACAGCAATATTAAAAGGCTTTGGGATGAAACTAAGTACTTATATGCTAACACACAATCTTATATTTGAGTATTTTCGAACCCAGACTCAAACTTAGAACCTCATGCTGCAAGAACCAAATCCTTTCCCATTTGGATAAATCCTTGTTGATTATTAATAGGGAAAACCATATTGGAGGTACCTATACTTTTTTTCAATTTTCAATTTGGTACCTATGTGTTTTTTGTTCTTAACTAAATCTTTATTTTTCCTCTATTAACATTATTAATCTTTATGTAGAGACTAAAAATATCAATAGAACAAAGGTTTACAGAGCTAATGTTACTAAAAAGATAAAATTAAATGTTTAATTAAAGGGAAAAAACACATAGGTACCAAATTAAAAATTGAGAGAAAGTATAGGTACCTTCAATATGGTTTTCCCTTATTAATATATATTATTGCATTTCCTATATTTAGTGTGACCTTAGATTGTACATAGCTTTCTTTTGTGATGACTTCCGTTGGGATATCCTATTACTGAAATAAACTTCACGGCAAAAATAAACTTGACATGTGAAAGCCAGCTGCAGCATGGCGCTGCCTCCTTGTCTCCTCTGCTTCATTGCCTCATTCATGTTAAGCCTGCATGAATGACTTTTGCATTTGCCGCCAAAAATATATGAACACAACATAAACTCAACACGATGCATGGAAGTAAAGACAAATCAACAAGCTAAGTATATACTACTCCTGCGTGCACGGATAAAGGTGGGCGTCCGGTACCAGGGAGTGAAGGTGGCCATGGGGCAAGTTTGCGAGTCGCGATGGAGATTCAGGGGTCGACAATCCAAGGGCAGAGTGTGGTTGGGTACTTTTGACACAGTGGAGGAAACAGCCAGGGCTTATGACGAGGCCCGAGCTGCTTGCTGCATGAGAGGCTCATTCGCATTTCTCAGCTTCCCAAATGAATATCGCCCTGGTTCTAACATTGCAACGTCGTCTTCTTCAGCTCCTTTGAGGAGCCGCCATGAAGTGCTCAAGTACTTGGATGATAAACTCTTGGAGGAGCTTCTGGACTGAGGAGAAAAAGAATAAGGGGAAGTGATGAATCTTTCTGGGGAATTATTATCAAGTACCCTGCAGTTGTATATAATGTGTCAGTGAACATGTCCTCACTTATAATAAATAATTTTTTTTGGTGCAATTCTCTCTTTAAAATATTTTCTTTGTAACAATGAGCATCTCAAAAACTTACGACCCTAACTATTACTAGAAAAATAATCTTGGGTATTGGATGCTCTAAAAACTATTTTAGTATATTGAGTGCAACTAGAAAAATACTTTGCAGGGAAGATCCTGTGTTGAACAAAATAACTCGTGGTCTGATCTAGTCTTGCCTATTTTCAACCTAAGGTTGGGTTAGATCAAATTTGGTTCCCTAGACTGTTTGGGCTGGTTTTGGGAGTCTAAAATCTTGATTTATTTTTTTTCCTTCAGGAAAGGTTATATTTCAACTTGATAAATACAATTAAGGTAGTAAAAATATCTGTAATAATATAAACTCATCCTAAAACATTAAAACTTAGTAATAAATTCATAAGAATATCTAAATAGTATTTAACAATTGTAAGAAGCACTATCTAAATTACAAAATATTGGAAAGAAATTCACCCAAAAGCAGATTGGACTAGACCTAACGGTCTAATAACTAGGTCGATAACTTAGTCCAATTCAATTAGCCAATCTGGTTTGATTTGGTCCGAGTTCATTAAAAGGCTTATTGGGATTGGACTGAACTACATAATCTCATCAGGTCAAAAAACAAAAAAAAAAACAACTATACAATCTCACAGTAGACCAGATGGGATGGGATTGCTAGGTTTTTACACACCCCTACTCAAATTGTGGCATAATCATTTGCATATCAATGTTTTAATGCTCTTCCAGTGTTAGCCGCACTTAAACACTGGCTCCATATCGGCTACGCGCACAGTTTACTGTTCCAAAGGGATTTGCCCGCTCATGCTAAGCATTTTGAAACTTGGGATGGCTTACAATTAGCTTGCAATATTTTATGAGGCTTCATGTACGCCGACATCAAGTGCTCAGATAGTTGTGGGGATATGGAATTTGAAATTCAAAACGAGTGGGCTTTGCTAATTACCCGCCAATGTAAGGCCTATCCAACTTGATGCCACACTTAAAATCATCCATTCAGTTTTCATCCACTTCTTCAGCCGCCACACGTGCAGTTGAGATGTTGTAATACTATATCCTCCCACTGCTGTTATTGTCATATTTAATTTAATTAATTTTTTTTTGGTGAAAAAAAGTTTAGGTAAGTTGAGTCCCGGGAGCTCACCAGGGCTAGGGCATGCTTCCAGGCTCAGAGTACTTACAGAGGTACTTACAAATCGCCTACCAACAAGGTCCTTACATCTTTAATTTAATTAATTTATTGCAACAATGATATCATCATAATAACAGGAACTGTATAAGGATGCAGGGGGTAGGACTTATGCATCCCATTCCATGGGTGGAAGGCGTCATTTGGCGTTCCAGGTGTACTGTGTTGATGCATAGCTTCATCCACTGCTATGATGGTTCAAGGAGTGGTGAATCTATAAAAGAGACGAAGGTGGTCATTATGTTATGATGCACGGCTTCATGTTTGGTTTTGTTGATCATCTTGCGTTTTTCATTATGTTTTCCATTATTTCATTATACATTGTGTTAAATAATTCCAGGAAGAATTCGAAGCCGGGCAAGTTCATATTGCGATGGAAGCCGCGTCTTTGTCATTACTGATGAACCATACATGGAGCAAGCCATCAGGAGGGCAAGTTGGAGTTAGGGTTATACCATTTTTTTCCCTTCCAGTTGTTTTTTTGATGGAAACGGAATTGTTCTTCCATAGACTTCATGTTTCCCAACACATCTCATCCGCATACATATTTTAGACCATTCTATATTAAACATCTTCTGTATATATATTGCTATCTACTTATATATATAATGCATATTTCGTATTTATCTGATCATGTAATCATTTAATACTTTTTTTTATTTCGTATTTATAAGAGCGAAGGGTCATACCATTTGTTTTTTTAGATTATAGATCGTAGATATAGATATTATAGCACATTGGGCTTCATTTTGCATGGGTTGTTTATATTTTTCCTGATATGGCCAAGTTACGCTTAACATCCCCTATTTATTTGTTTTAAGATTTATTATCCATTATGGTTTAAAATTTTATTTAACAAAATAAAATGATTTAAAAATATTGTTAAAAAATATATAATAAATTTTTATTTCATAAAATAAAATTATAAATAATAAAATTTAAAATAAAGAAAATAATCATAGAAAGAAATATGTGAAGAGGAAATACTTTCATCAAATAATTAGTTTAGATATGTACGTGGAATAAAAATAATATTGATGCCACTGTTTTTATTTTAAAAAAATATTACATTATTTTTATAATAAGATTTTAAATAAACAAACAAAATCCTAGCCCTAAATCCGTCTCCTATAAATTTTTCTTTCTTCTCTACACACTCCTTGCTCTTAGGGGGTGTTTGGATGAAACCAAACCATGGTTTGGAGAATAGCTTCTAGAGAATAAATTTTGGGGAGAATAAATTTTGTGAAGAATATATTTTGTGAAAAAATGATTATGAGAAGTGAGAGTGTTTGGATAATTGTTATCAGAAGCACTTTTTATATATACAAATTACTAAAAAAGACATAAATTAATATGATAATTACATAAAAGATAGATTTTATGATATATTTTAATTTGAAGGAATAAAATTGTTAATAATATACTTTTTACCAACATAATTAATAATACATAAAATAATATAATTGATGAATAATTAATATGTGTATACATATTTATAAGATATAAGATTAATATGTTTATAAAAAATTAATTGAAGGATGTTAAAGTCATATTATTCTTGAGATCTACTCTAATAGGCACAATCATACTCTCTAATTTGAGCCAAAAGCAGAATAGATTCACTTCTCCTGAAACCATGGTTTCAGTCCAAACCAATGGTTTCGGTCCAAACCATGGTTTTAGATTATGGCATCAAAATTAATGCTGTTTGGGTGACATTCCACCCAAACCATGGTTTTGCCTCCCAAACTATGGTTTTGGGAGTCACCCAAACAGGCCCTTAGTCGCCACTCTATCTCTACTCTCTTGCAGGTCTCTCTCTCATCCCCTTCTTTTTTCTTGTTCTGCATACGCTTCATTTCCAATCTTATCAAAATTTTTACTGTTCATCTTTCTATTATGACTTCTTATTTTATACTTGTGTGTTGTGTCTTGTCAATGCTTATTAGATTGCCAATCGGAGTGTGTGTGTTTTATGTATATACGGTTCCTGACGCCACCTCTATTTCTCTTTTCTTACATATTTTATTTACTTCCTCATAGTTTGTGGTTAACAAAGTCTTCTAATTAGGGACTAGAGGTAATAATTCATAACTGGTGCCGTATATATATCCACACATATTTTATTTTATTCAAAAACCCCACCTACCTCCATCAATCTAATGCGACTTTCATCTTGTTGTTTTTGATCCTCCCTAAATGTGTTTATATAATATATTTATTATTTTACTTTCTTCATAAGCCACAAATTTCATCAATACACGATATGAATGTGTATGTCTGAGGACCTATTATATTCTTTTCACCAGTTATTAATTGTATCTGCTACCATTAAATATATACCTGTGTAATAACTTATAAGTGTAATTTCTTTCAAGATCATTTTCATTATTGTCACGCAGTTGTACCGATTTAACTAGTTCTGTTTCAATTCTTTTGTCTCTCTCTCTATTCTTTTTCAATCAATATTTTAATATTATATGTATATGTGTATAGTGCCTTGTGCCCTTTTCCTTTTTTTGTGGGGCCAAAAGTGCCCTTTGCCTTGATTCTCCGTCTTTTACTCCCTCCATTGTTCTTGCTTCACTCATTGTCACATGGGCGTCCTACTCAACATTATTGTGGGTGTGTATATAACTATATATGTGTGTGTGTGTATATATATATATATATTTGCATATAGGTATATTTTAGTCAAACCTTGACCACCCCGGGTCTTTTCTTCCTATGCGTGTGAGTGGATATATTATGCATATACTCTTATGTAATCCACGTGTCCATTCTCAGTTGAGCCAAGAGATCTTTTTCTTCTATAATAAATGTTTTCTTTATTAACAAGTATAAGACTAATAAATTATGGTTTTCTAATTTAAGTCTTATGTTATAAAAGCATACGATAATTTTATTCCTAGTCATCATTAAATATTATATATATATAATAGGCGGGTTTCGGAGGGTAGCTTTAGGATTACGAGTAACTTTTAGATGGCTTTTGAATAAGTTTTGAGTTATATATTGATAGATACTTGCAATTGTAATTTTATAGACTCTCTTGGAAAGCTTTGGAGTAACAATTGTGTGTTTACCTTAAGTTCAGGAGTAATAGGTAACTTTGAAATTTCTTTCATATACATATTAATTGTTTATGGATGTTATTATTGTTAGATACCTTATAAATTAATTATTTTAGTATGAAATGTATATATGTGTTATATATAATAATAAATAGAGTTTTAAAAAATATTCCTATTTCACTCATGACTTATGCTATTAATTAATATTGGTAATAACTATCTTCATAGTTATAATGATTGATTTATAATGAATTGTATTGTTGATGATCTATATTGGA